CATTGGCACCATAATTACAGTTTTGACTAAGAGTTCGTAAAGCTGAAACGTATTCATCAACGGTTTCTCCACTAAGATGTGACCTTGACATGAATCTCACCCTTTCAGCACTCACGTTGAATCTTGCACCGTAATGGCCTTCTAAACTACGCAATGCAGAATCATACGAATCATCAGCTACTTGTAATGAATTAAAAGTCATTTGAGCATGTGGTCCCAAACAGTGTAAAAGTAATGCTTTCTTTCTGGCATCGGCATAATTATTTCCGTCGACAGCAGTTAAATAGTTTTCAAATAGGCCTCTCCACTGTCCCCATGCAATGGCTGGTTTTCCGGGGGTCGGCAAAAAACTGGTAGGTAATGGCACGCTCATCTTAAAATTACCGGAAAATAGTGTCAATAACAAAATAATTAACATCTGGATCAACAAACCTAATGCAGAATAATTTCGATATCCTCGTTGCCATATTATGTTCGTTGTAGACAAACATTTATTAGTCAAGAATGATTTACATCTAAACAACATCGAAATGGTATACTTCAAGAAATCAGCATGGCGAACATCTTCCTCCGCACTACACATGAGCGGGTGACGTATAGTATGAGTCATCCTTCTGGAATGTACTATTATGGAGTGACACATAGGTCATAATTACTTCATCATATAATAATCATAATATAATTCTGGATGGACATCTTCTATTTTACTTATCTCTATTTACATGAATGTACAGACATCACAATTATGACCTCTATAGGGTCCACAAGCTAACAAGCGGTTGCCATGCAAGATACGCCCACATTTTGCAAGAGATGGACAGAGAACAAGCTCAAAAAAAAGAAGTGATTTTTTCGTACAATCAAGGGCCATAATTCAGGAAGTTATGATCCAATATGTGCGAATATCGAAAGGAACCAAGATCTTTGGGTTATAAATATGTATTTCAAGTTTCATCAAAATCGGATCAAAATTGTGACCTCTATAGGGTCCACAACCTTGATATACCATATTTTTACGCTATTTGAGAACGAACGGCGGCCATTTTGTCTGTCAATTTTGGGCCAATTTTCACGAAATTCGAACTCTGTCGTCCTTAGGGTGTAACGGTGACATAATAATACGTTTTTTTTAAATCTGATAAAAATTATGACCTATATAGGGTCCACAAGCTAAAAACGCGATTTTTCGTACAATCAGGGACCATAATTCAGGAAGTTAAGGTCCAATATGCGCGAATATCGAAAGGAACCGAGATCTTTGGGTTATAAACTTACATTTCAAGTTTCAACAAAATCGGATAAAAATTGTGACCTCTATAGGGTCCACAACCTTGATATACCATATTTTTACGCTATTTGAGAACGAACGGCGGGCATTTTGTCTGTCAATTTTGGGACGATTTTCATGAAATTCGAACTCAGTCGTCCTTAGGGTGAAACGGTGATATAATAATACGGGTTTTTAAATCGGATAAAAATTATGACTTCTACAGGGTCCACAAGTTAAAAACGCGATTTTTCGTACAATCATGGGCCATAATTCAGGAAGTTACAGTCCGATATGCGCGAATATCGAAAGGAACCGAGATCTTTGGGTTATAAACTTACATTTCAAGTTTCAACAAAATCGGATAAAAATTGTGACCTCTATAGGGTCCACAAGCTAAAAACGTGATTTTTCGTACAAACAGGGGCCATAATCCATGAAGTTTCGATCCGATACATGCCAATATCGAAAGCAGCCGAGATTTTTTTGGGATAAAGCTATATATCAAGTTTCGTCAAAATCGGACAAGAATTGTGACCTGTAGAGAGTCCACAAACAAATTGTGGACGGACGGACAGGGGCGACGACAATATACGTCCACATGAAAATGTGGGCGTATAAAGACGTGATTTTTCGTACAAACAGGGGTCATAATTCGTGAAGTTACGGCCCGATATGCGCGAATATCGAAAGGAACCGAGATTGTTGGGTTATAAACTTATATTTCAAGTTTCAACAAAATCGGATAAAAATTGTGACCTCTAGAGGGCCCACAAGCTAAAAACACGATTTTACGTACAATTAGGGGCCATAATCCACGAAGTTAAGGTCCGATACATGCCAATATCAAAAGGAACCGAGATCTTGGGGAGATAAACCTATATTTCAAGTTTGGTTGAAATCGGATAAAAATTGTGACCTGTAGAGTGTCCACAAACAATTGTGGACGGACGGACGCCCAGACGGACAGGGGCGACGACAATATACGCCCACATGGAAATGTGGGCGTATAAAAACGACAACTTTCCCAGTAAAACCGAAGACATCGTAACTATCCGACAAGTAGTTTCCGACATACGATCAAATTGGAAAAAAAAATAATAATAATAAGAACTAGATCCGCAAGGGAGATATGAAAGCTTTCATATTCACGGCCACTTCCTGTCACATGTCATGGGTTATATAGTAAAAGAATATTAACAAGAAAAAATAATTATTAAAATCGCTCAAAAACTATTGAAGTTATAATAGCAAGAAACATTTCATCCGAGCAAAAAAACATCTGAAAAATAAAAGGAATTAACTGAGACTTGTATTGCTGTAATCGGATTGACTTCCCGTTCATAAGTTTCAGAAAAATGGATCAAGCCGTTTAAAAATTTGACGGATCAGAAAATGAAAATAGCGGGAAATCGGGGAAAGAACACAAAAATGGCAGGAAAAAATGTAAAAATTAAATCAGATAACTTGAGGCCGAAGAAGATGATGTCATTATCTATATTATCTTGTCCGAGAACCACAGTTCAAATGTCAAGGATGTTAGTTTCAGTACACCAACGTAATGTGTGACAAAAACATCTATGACGTTTGCCTGCTTTCAAGCAATGCAAAGATGTCTGGGAATGCAAGAAATACAGAACCCATGCATGATACTGACAGTTCCAGTGATGTCATTGGTTCCATTGTTTCAAGTTACAAGAAAATTTCGGCAGGTAAAAAGAGGGAAGAAACGAAACGAAAAAAGCAGTAGCAAGGAAGTTTTTTTTTTTCATTAGACATCATGTATGTATCTTAACGTATGGTAAACAAGATATCTAATGATGGAATATGAATATCAAAAGAGAATATTTAATTAGTGAATGATAGATATACAATTGATGCAAGACAAAGTTAAAGAAATGAAATTCATAAAGACAAAGTTAAAGAAATGAAATTAAGACAAAAGTACTGATGATACTTTTTAAAGTAGGCCTATGATAATGAGCTCTGTGATATTTTGTGAAATTTCTAATGTCAGGAAGGTATTTCAATTATGGATTTAATGTTAACATTGTACAGAATTGAATGGACCATAAGATCAGGTTTTAAAAAAATACAGGAAGAGTCTTTATTTTTGAAATGAAAATTTCATAAGGAGTTATATAGTAATTTGAATGGTGGACATTTTTGTGTTTATTGTGAGCAGTTTTTACTGAACAGTGTTTTCACAAACCTTGACCTGTAGTGGCCAGCAAGTGAACAATGACTGGACATCTATTTTTCAATGTGTAAGTAGTAGTTATTAGCACACTTTCCGAGGTGTATCGGTGAATATCAGGACAGTTGCCTCGGCGGCTCCCGACCAAAACTGTCCTGATATTCACCGATACACCGAGGAAAGGTGCTAATAAGTTACTTACATCACATTTCTATCGAGTATTGTGAAGCAAAATGTGAAAAATGGTATTTATTATCGAGTCGTTTCAACCGAAAAGTGACAAATACTTTCTGCTCTTTCATTATTTATCCCTTTCTGAGCCTCACGTTACATTTCATGGTAGAATGATTTCGCAGAGGAGAGACGACCTGAGTAGTATTTACACGTGCGTCTTGCTATGATACTCTGAGCGTAAAACAATCACGTGTTTGTTTAGACCACATCGTCAAAACAACTTGTCTATGGCGTAGAGGACTGCGATATTATTAAATGTAGTATAAAGGAAATGCGAAACGTTGGTCATTCCTGGTGAAAGTATGCATCGGCGGATGGTTCTTCCGTTGAAATTTATTTGTAATAAAGTTTATGACTTTCTAGGCGTTTTTTTCATCCTGCTTATTTTCAATGCCTGTGAAGTGTCCAGCAAGAGAACTGCACCTTCTATCATCACAATTAATTAAAATAATTATTCAATATTCTAATTTATATATTTTGCATATTAATATTAATCAAACCAAATTATGAAATAGATGCCAATTGATATGTATAATAATTGATTTTTGTAATATGTTGTTATGTTAATTTAATGTCATTGTATATGTTTTTGAACTGCCATGTAGTTCCCCCCATTTTGTTTTGTTACTATGATTTTGACTAGCTGTTTCATGTACATTGTATAGAGCCATCGTTATCAATTGCGATCTGGATCGGACTAAACCATCCCAAACTTAGGCTGCCTATCTACAGCTAGCTCCGACTGAGAATAGGCCCTAAGCTAATTAACCGACATTTAAATTCCTACATCGACGATTTTAGTCGAAAACACTATGTATGCTTTTAGAAATTGTTAGAAGTATTTTTTCCTCTTATATTTTCATATCTAATGAAATTACAAATGTTTACTTAGCCGTTGTGAGTATGAAAGATGATAAACGGAGTAGAACCGAATCACGAAATAGTCCACTCTAATTATTCAATATGGCGGCGCCCATAGACGATAAGTTCACAGAAGCGATTTTATTCGCGAAGACAAATTTAGGCGTATCTAACAATGAATTAAAAGATAAACAGATTGAAACTTTAAAGGCAGTTTACAATGATAAAGACTGCATTGCAATATTACCAACTGGCTATGGAAAAAGTCTGATTTTCCAGCTTTTACCGTGGTTTTTAAAAGCAAAATTATCTTCACCATACACTCCAATTGTGCTCGTAGTATGTCCACTCAACAGTATCATGCAGGACCAAGTGGTAAGTACATGTTTACTGTATTAAATTTATGTTTAATATCATTTTATCAACCTAAATTATTAAGAATTATTCTGTAATTAATAATGGTACATGGTTAGGAGAATTTAAGCCAAACTGTCAATGTGTGATTGTAACTGTTATTATGCTATGTTATATATATACTATTCAAAAAAAGTAGGGGATATTTGATTTTTAAGTGTTATTAAAGTCACCTAATGAAACTGACGAAGAAACAAATGACAAAATGAAATGAAGTTCACATTCATCGATTTATTCCAAATGATCGTTAGACTAAGTAAGGCACAGACTGACCATTATAAGGGTAAAATGATACCCGGGGTCAAACAGCAAAGTTACCACAGCATCACAACCAAGTCAGTAACGGGTAAATCCTCCTCTGTTTGCCAAACAAGCATTGATCCGACGTGGCATACTCCTAATGAGACGTCTAAGGTCATTTTGGTCCAGATTGTCCCATTCCTGTTGCAACGCAGCAGCAAGTTCTTGGACATTGGCAGGACGTTGTTGACGTTGACGTAACCTCTGTCCAAGCATGTCCCAGACATGCTCGATGGGGGAGAGGTCGGGACTCAGTGCTGGCCAAGGTAATGTGGTGATGTTCTGTTGTTGGAGGTAACCTGTAACGATCCTGGCCCTGTGACATCTTGCGTTGTCATCCTGGAAGATGAAACGGCGGCCATGACGTCGTGCGAACGGCACAACATGGACTGCCAAGATGTTGTCCCGGTAGTACTGGCCTGTAACACGCCCTGCAACAACATGTAAAGCCGTTCTTCCAGCAACAGTGATGCCTCCCCAAACCATAAAAGAACCACCCCCAAATCGATCATGTCTGATGACGTTAACGTCTTGGAAGCGCTCGTTTCGACGACGCCACACCCTCCTACGTCTGTCCAAAAAATCAACAGTGAACCTTGACTCATCTGAAAACATCACATTGCTCCAGCGTCGATTATCCCAGTGTTGACGATCCCTACACCAACGACGTCTTGCCTGAATGTGATGATCTCTCAAACAAGGGATCACGCGAGGACGTCGGGCGCGAAGGTGACCCCTATGCAGTCGATTCCGAATCGTCTGGCCACTCACTCTCACACCAGTGTCTGTTTGAAGACGAGCGCTGATCTGATTTGCTGTGATGACACGATTTCTCAAGGCCAAGGTACGGATAAATCGATCCTGGGCTTGAGTTGTCGCCCTTGGTCGACCTGAGCGTGTTCTGTCCTGTACAGATTGTGTATCACGGTATCTGGACCATAGCCTGCTTATGACAGACTGAGAAACATTCATCGTCCGCGCCACAACCGCCTGTGTTGTGCCGATCTGTAGCATGCCAAGGGCACGTAACCTTTCATTTTGGGTAAGCCGACGCATATCAAAATTTGTTTTCTGGTCACTAAAACAATTAAACTGATGTTTCCACCCTGGAATTCAATGCCACAATGACTGTAACATTCAAAGTCAGAGTCGTGCAAATCTTGGGTTGGACCCCCATGATGATCCCAAGCATCACCTGCATTCCATGCGGTAGCTATTGGTGCGTTTGGGCGTCACATGTAACTGGAAATGTTTCTTCTGTTAGGTTCTATAGTGACTTTTTTCCTAGTCATTTGCATATTTTAGTATTATGCCCCCAAAATCAAATATCCCCTACTTTTTTTGAATAGTATATATCCTACATGAGGTATGCCGATGGTAGACCTACATAAGTACATTTCTGTAAATTAATATTGGTACATGCCACATGGTTAGGAGAAACTTTAAAGAAGCCAAGTCTCTAACTCAATATCATCCAATGTCTTTGACATTGCAAACATTTTTGTTTTCAAGTTTCAAAAAATAGAAGTGTTCCTTTATAGTCAAAATAATTTAGAATAAAAAATACTTTAAATTTTTCAGACTGGATTGGTTAAAAAAAGGTATTGAAGCATGCTATTTAAATATAAATACATCGGAAAATAATATGGGAAAGACCTATGAAATAGCTGCTGGTGACTTTATTGACGATCCACCTGGGAGTGAGTGATACAGAGGAAAGCGAAACACAAAGTGAAACAAGTGTATTCACAGAACAAGATGTCACACTCCAAGCATTAAGACAGGGCCATTACAAAATTATTTATTCCCACCCAGAAACTCTGGTGTCCAACTCAATCATTGGGAAACTTTTACGTTCCCCAGAATATAAAAAACAAGTCGGGTGTGTGGTTATAGATGAAGTACACATGGTTGCTGAATGGTAAGTATTTTCATCTTATTTGTTGTACGTTTAATTCTATTCTATGGTTAGCTGGGCAGTATAGGACACTTATCAATGTCCAACTGTCTTTGGATCTTTAAAGTTTGCTGCCAATATGCATACATTACCTCGGTTTGTTGTCTCAGTCCTAAAAGGGGCATAAATGAAACCGCCTTAAACCAAACCGGACAATTTTTTTTAGTCTAAATGGACATATATTAGTTATAATGTCAATAAAAAAGCAAAAGAAATCAACCTATTAAATATTTGTTATTGAATTAGAATCCAATTAGATGAATTTTGACAACATTTTTAGTCATTTTTACTAACTTATATTTTGTCCGTTTCGTTTTGAACGTATACAATGTACAGGTTTTATCATATGCAGAGGATGCCAAATAGAGGAATGGTGTATTTATCTTATCTCCAAATTTCAGCGCGAAATATTAAGTCTTTGGACGTGAAAGTCAAAACCGTTTATCCGGACACATAACGATTTTAAGATTTTGGGTCAATTTTTTCGTTGGATGACCTGATAACCTACACATTATTTTTATAAAATAAAAGTATACAGCCAGCTTGGGACACCAGGTCAACATTTCCAGATGAAGACTGGTGGGTCTAAGTTGTTTGAAAATGTATATATATATATTGAGTTAGTTGCATGGCCCTAAGGTAGAGGATTATTTTAAGGGTTTTTAACACGCAGTTTTATTCACCAAATGATAATCAGGATTTGCCCTTTAAGTATTTTTCTAAAAGAACATGTAGATATATTCCATTAAATCTTTTTCAGGGGAGAAGATTTCAGAAAGGCATTCAAAAGACTGTCAGAGATAACATCCCTCTATACAGATGCTGCACATTTGGTAGTCACTGCAACACTAACAAATTCTGGGATTACCAGCATTACCAATGATCTGCAGTTAATTACACCTACAGTTGTTAAAATGAGACCAGACAGACATAACATATTTATTGAAAAAAAATTAAGATTGCCAAATTTGAGAAAATATGAAAAATTTGTTGACTTAATACAACCAATTTCAGCAGAGCTGAAGCAACTGAAAAGTGAATTTCCAGTTACTATTGTTTATGTAGACAGTTTAGAATGTCTGTACTATTGTTACAATTTCACTGAAAAATTTGTTGGTAAAGATGGTTATGTCGGAATAGAAAAAACGCCAGAAAATAGAATTTTCGCTCAATATCATTCGAAATATACTCCAAAAATGAAAACACTTATTGTAAATGAAATTTGCAAGGACAATCCTACATTGAGACTGGTTTTGGCAACAGTTTCTTTGGGAATGGGGTTGAATGCTCCTTCAGTATCCAGAATTATTCATTTTCGACCTCCAACGTCATTAGAAAGTTATAGTCAAGAGATTGGTAGAGCTGGCAGAAATGGTCATCCATCACAGGCTATCATTTATTACAATAATAATGACATTGCAGCTAATAGGCCAGGTATAACCAAAGAGATGATTCTGTTTTGTAAAGATGAAACAACATGTTTGAGAAAACGGTTGTTAGATCATTTTGGTGCTGAATACACTTTTAGTGGTGGTCCTTCATTGTGTTGTAGTAACTGTCGTAATAGCATAATGGTGAGTATTTACTATTCTTATATGAATTCTGATTGATTATCTGTTGGAATATTTCGTAAAATACGTTTAATTATAATTTCGATATCTGACTTAAATTTGGTTCTGTTTACTCCTTCAAACGGATCTTTAGAAATTCCACTGAATGCATCTAAGGTTCTGTCAGAAGTTTTATTGAAAGGTTGCAGCTCTGTTAATTCTTTTTGAATTGCTTTTAAGTCTTCCTCGGATGACTTTACTTTATGAGTGGTAGAATATCCTTTAACATCTAATAGTGACTCAAAATTATCTGAAACTAATTTAACAACTGGTCCAGCTTTTGTTATTCTAGAAATGTTATCTTCAGTTTTCCAACGTCCTAAACCTCTTATTAATTCTTTCAGGTACTTGACTTGATTCTCTTTTTCCACATATGCTGCTTTGTTTTTTCCTTTAACCCCCTTTCTGTTAACAAATCCTGATGTTCACACATTCAGTGACATTTGAGGTGACAAAATAATCTCAGTTTTCAAAATATAATCTATGCATTCCACTAGATATTTCGATAAGTTAGAATGAGTATAAAAAAATGGAATCATGGCTTATAAGCATATGTTTGTTCTGAAAATATCTCCATATTTTATAGCACTTTTAAAGTTCTTAATTACAAAATACCATTGTAGAAAGTTACTGCAATAATTAAAAGGGTCATCTTGTCTTTCCTCTTCTCTCTGTGAAATTTGAACAGGATCATCAACTCCTGGGAGGGTGATTGTAATAACTTTTTCAAATGATATAATAGGAATCAGGAAACGAAAGGGTTCTCCTCCTTGAATGGACAGTAATGCAGATGCCGTTTTTACTCCATCAATGTCGTTCACATCCGCTGTAACAATATGTTTTTTATCATCAATATTTAACTCAAGCTGAATTGTACTTGCTGTACTCTAAAAAAAAAAGAAGAAAGAAACACTTACATATAGATTGACCATGTGACAGGAGACAGTTACTATGTACCTTATTTAGAAAGCATACTTTGTACTAAATAGTGAATGGTTCTGTGTAATGGTAAAAGTGCCAGGTACATGAATGCGGTTAAGTTAAATCTTCTTGGTAACCTGGCTACTTTTATTGTTTGTTAAATATACCTAATATGTCAACTGGATAAAGACAAAATGTCCCGAGTGCTGTTTATTGAATATTTATGACCATGTTTTTGTATACATACTTATATCTAATAGCATATGTATTTTGTATTTTCAGGATAATTCCAGCTGAATAATCTCACCTGCTCAATGTCAAAGACTGTTAGTACTTCATCCATGAACTTGTCTAAGATTGTGTCAAACACCATTTGCCGACGTTTTTCATGAAAAAATTCTACATTCTTTGGTGGTGTGTTTTTAGTCGGAAAAGAATCAACATTTTCAATACCAAAGTACTCTTGAACCATTTCCATAAGATATGCCTTTCCAACTGTTGAAATGAAATCTTCATGTTGTTTAAATCTACTTTTAACTTGACCATTCACATTGCTTCTTTGAATAATAACTCTGAGATGTGCAAGAGTTCCTTTATCCCTGGATTTATTTATAATCAGAAATTTCTTACAGAGTTTCTGAAATAAATTAAAATATCATCATATATTATCTGACATATACATGTATGTAAACATTTATTATATTTTTTAATGTTCATTACAGCAACCCACAATAATTTGTCCTTATAAATCCGTTTTTAAGAAATTGTAACAGATAAACCTTTGGTATTACAATTAAGAAATTGTAACAGATAAAGTTTTAGTATTTACAATCTTATTGTAAACAAACATTGTTTTGTATATTCGTGAAATATGGAGATATGTAAGATTCATTAAGTTTGTAAATAATCAAAATATCGATGGCATAATTTCATGCAAAGGTCTGATCTGGTAATTTTTTAAAAAAATTAAGAAAATATTGCTATATTTAATTTAAAACTGTTATCAACTCTCTGTACATGAATAATATTATCAAAACCAAACCAACCAATCAATAAGATGTAACTTACGTATGTGATAGGTTCTGTATTGAATGATATAAGTATACACTAGTACAAGTGTTCATGCATGTGCCAAATCTATGTATTGGATGATCAAAGCATTTTTACAAATAAAAATATTTACCTCCAGAAAATCTTGTAAAGTATGAAAAAATTCAATAACAACTGGTGATAAATTTTCACATCTTTCTATCCTAGTATGTGATCCAGCTAGCAGCATTTTGGCACCTTCTAATCTAACTCTAGTTAATTGGTCACCACCAATTGGGATATTAAGGTTTCTGTAATGATCATCTGGAAGTAGATGGGAAAGATGATATTTGTATGTTATTAGATAGGTTAGGTCTTTATTTTCCACTTATAAGCATTTTCATTTTTTTTACCTTACTTTTATTTGAAATACATTATTTTGTTCTAAAATAAGTGAAATAGTTAATTATATTTGCTGTAAGCAGACTAAACAATATCGTTATTTGGTGTTAAAGGAATGCTTAATGTACAACAACTACCACTTCAGTCTAGTGTAAAAAATGAATTGAACTGAGATTTTATAATTACGGTAACAAAAATTAGCTGAAATGAAATTTAATAATTAACAGTCATGCAGAAGTTTACTAATTGTCAGGCTAAAACAAAATCGCCTAAGTAACTTTTGAAAATAAAAATGATGATGAACTTTTGAAAATAAAAATGATGAAAATAATTATCTGTCCGATATGGTTACATTAACCACATGAACTGTCTGGCGAGATATTGTACAAGAGAGAGAGAAACGTCCACTCAACACAAACTAGGTCATTTCGAGACTAACATATGGTTTAATTTTATTTCAATAATTCGCTTGCGCGTAGGGGTCTTTAGCAGTGGGAGGAAACCGGAGGATGGTTTAATTTTATTTCAATAATTCGCTTGCGCGTAGGGGTCTTTAGCAGTGGGAGGAAAACGGAGGACCCGGAGAAAACCCACGAGGATGGACAGGCGATCCTACTCCTTGCCACGTACAACCGGGATTCAAAACCACGCCAGTTGACTCAATGCTAACCATTCAGCCATCCACACCCCCCCCCCCCCGATATTGTACAAGAGGACACCTATAAGCTGTTGATAAATTATACATATAAAAAAATACATAAAGAAGGTACATGCAAGCTAATCATGCAAAAGTAGAAACAAGTATAATAAATAAAGATTAGTAGTTGGGAGGGGGGGGGGGAGGAAGGCACCAAAAATATTTGAATATTAACCAAATATAACAAAATGCAGATGAACAACGAAACCTCGACCAGATTCATGGTACCATCGCTGGGTTTCTTCTTGATAAGATTGCAGAATGTCAATACAGTCGTCATACTTTTGTTCATTTTTCAAAATTACTGGCATAATATGAGAATGACTTTTAGTAGACATTTCTTCTTCATATTCATGTGGAATATTTTTTGGCAAAACTAAGTTCATCCACTTGAAACAATGGAATACGTCAACCATTTCTTGAGCAATAAGAATCTTTAAATCTTGTTTAAACTTTGCTTTCTCATTTTCATTCAATAAAACTGAGTGGATGTTTACTTCATCTATATTACATAAAGGTTTGTCATTTGGTAATGATGAGGCCTCAACTCGGTAGGGTGTCCAGTCTGTAGCAAAAAAATGAAAATCTTTCTCCCTAGAACTTAGTCTCATATCAGCTGTGGACACTCTGATATCTAAATTGTCTCCATTGATTTTGCCATCTTTGCCAGTCTTTATTTCATTGATTATCAACTGTTCTGAATAATCAGCATAAGTTTTTATAATGTCACTTTTACTTTTTTCCGAGAGAGTTAGATGCAGTGCATTCAGTCTAGTGAGAAGCTGTATTGGATATCCATTTGATAAAATAAATATTACAGTTACATAAGTAATAATCAATACTTACATGTATATAAAAGTTTTAATTCATTTATGAAATAATTTTGTATGTCGCCATCATACAATAGAGACTATTTAATGTCTGATTACCTTTCAATTATTACATATTTTAAGTCAAGTTTGTGATGCAACTTAAGTTGAACTTGAGTCCAAGTCATGGGACTCGAGTTCCCACCTCTGCTGATTGACACATTGTTGATTTTCATGCGACGAAGAAGCCTATTAATTTTAGAAAACCCATGAAAGAAATGCCGCCAGGACACAAACAGAGCAAAAGTTTTTATCTAAAACTAAATTAGGTTTAGTATTATTTACCTTGTTATCAGCATGGTATCGAATACATATTGAGGTGTATAATCTGCATGAACATGGAGAAAATTGTTGCTATCATCGTGATCTTGGTGTCTTCAGATTTTGTTCTACAACAAAGCTTCAACAAATCAAACAAAAATGGTACCCGCTCCTTCAGTTCAATGATAATATACTATTCAAAAAAAGTAGGGGATATTTGATTTTGGGGGTATAATACTAAAATATGCAAATGACTAGGAAAAAAGTCACTATAGAACCTAACAGAAGAAACATTTCCAGTTACATGTGACGCCCAAACGCACCAATAGCTACCGCATGGAATGCAGGTGATGCTTGGGATCATCATGGGGGTCCAACCCAAGATTTGCACGACTCTGACTTTGAATGTTACAGTCATTGTGGCATTGAATTCCAGGGTGGAAACATCAGTTTAATTGTTTTAGTGACCAGAAAACAAATTTTGATATGCGTCGGCTTACCCAAAATGAAAGGTTACGTGCCCTTGGCATGCTACAGATCGGCACAACACAGGCGGTTGTGGCGCGGACGATGAATGTTTCTCAGTCTGTCATAAGCAGGCTATGGTCCAGATACCATGATACACAATCTGTACAGGACAGACCACGCTCAGGTCGACCAAGGGCGACAACTCAAGCCCAGGATCGATTTATCCGTACCTTGGCCTTGAGAAATCGTGTCATCACAGCAAATCAGATCAGCGCTCGTCTTCAAACAGACACTGGTGTGAGAGTGAGTGGCCAGACGATTCGGAATCGACTGCATAGGGGTCACCTTCGCGCCCGACGTCCTCGCGTGATCCCTTGTTTGAGAGATCATCACATTCAGGCAAGACGTCGTTGGTGTAGGGATCGTCAACACTGGGATAATCGACGCTGGAGCAATGTGATGTTTTCAGATGAGTCAAGGTTCACTGTTGATTTTTTGGACAGACGTAGGAGGGTGTGGCGTCGTCGAAACGAGCGCTTCCAAGACGTTAACGTCATCAGACATGATCGATTTGGGGGTGGTTCTGTTATGGTGTGGGGAGGCATCACTGTTGCTGGAAGAACGGCTTTACATGTTGTTGCAGGGCGTGTTACAGGCCAGTACTATCGGGACAACATCTTGGCAGTCCATGTTGTGCCGTTCGCACGACGTCATGGCCGCCGTTTCATCTTCCAGGATGACAACGCAAGATGTCACAGGGCCAGGGTCGTTACAGGTTACCTCCAACAACAGAACATCACCACATTACCTTGGCCAGCACTGAGTCCCGACCTCTCCCCCATCGAGCATGTCTGGAACATGCTTGGACAGAGGTTACGTGAACGTCAACAACGTCCTGTCAATGTCCAAGAACTTGCTGCTGCGTTGCAACAGGAATGGGACAATCTGGACCAAAATGACCTTAGACGTCTCATTAGGAGTATGCCACGTCGGATCAATGCTTGTTTGGCAAACAGAGGAGGATTTACCCGTTACTGACTTGGTTGTGATGCTGTGGTAACTTTGCTGTTTGACCCCGGGTATCATTTTACCCTTATAATGGTCAGTCTGTGCCTTACTTAGTCTAACGATCATTTGGAATAAATCGATGAATGTGAACTTCATTTCATTTTGTCATTTGTTTCTTCGTCAGTTTCATTAGGTGACTTTAATAACACTTAAAAATCAAATATCCCCTACTTTTTTTGAATAGTACATAATATCTTCTGATAACAATTGTTCAACATTTCTATAATATAATTGGCTATTGTGATTCTTAAAATTAGTTTGTAACGATGCTTCTATGTCCTGAAGAAAAGACATATGTAATGCTTTCTTTAATGGTCCACATTTTAAAATTATATGTATTAGGTACTTCACAGAGACAGATTCCTCCAATCGAAATATATCAAATAATGCTTTGTAATCTTCTGCTGTTATCATGTCATCACTTTCATTAAACAAATTTTCATGTATGTAATCAATGGCACGACTCTTTGATGATTTTATTTCTTCTTCAATGGATTTATCTTTTACATCCAGATCTAAATATATAAAACAGAATTATGATTTTACACTGTTTAAATTGTCTTAAGCAGTATCTCTTGAGATTACAAAATGAAATGAGGGTGTGTGGGGGGGGGGGGGGTGTGCTCCACAATTGGGCCTGCAATTGCATTTATTACCTTCAGTAAGTGTCTGCCTATACATCTAGGCCCATATTTATTTGTCAGTATTATTATTGGTAAGTATATTCAGTTATGATTGATATTAACAATAATATATTTTTCAACCCTACCTTCATTTTCATTATTTGAAAAGAGTTGCTTCCTTGCACTCGAGCTGTGTCCCGCATCTTCTTTCGTCGTACTATGGGTCGCTAATTTCATTTTTTCTACAGATTTGGTTATGAATTCAATTGCACTTAATTTCTTAAATGTTTTGTTTTCAGCATCGGGAGTTGAGTGCATTCTTTTAATTCTTTTATCCAGATTTTTAAAAAAATTATTTGATTCATTTGTGAACTCAAAGTAATTTGTTATTTTTAATTTGCAGGATCTACAAATTTGTAAAATTTGGCGAAGTCCTTCTGATAATTGTGTTTTAACAATATTTTCTATTTCCTTAAAAAGTGCTACTTGTTTTACGGCAATTCTATCTAGTTGATTTAATCTCGATCTATCACGCTGGCCACAGAGACAACACAGATTATATACCGCATTTATCGGAGTAGTCGACATTTTCCTAACATAAACGATCAGTTAGTATAGGTGTCATTGATCAGGCATTATTTGTTTACATACAACACGTGCTTCCGGTAAATAAAGTAGTGCCGGTCGATAAGTCACGCCCCAAAATGATCACGTGGGGGTTTTAAATGGAGGATAAATAGGACAGTGATCAATTCTCGTATGACGTAGGTGGATCGCTGTGTGCAGTATGGGACTAAACGTCCGCTACTTATTGCTTGATAGGTATCTAAAACGGTATGAAAGTATCTTTGTATCAGAAATGAACAGTACTCTTTCTGTACATTTCTGATACACGGATACTTTTATGCATGTATTGCAATTAAACAGGGCAGTTTTATCAAAGGTTGCCAGTGGCAACGAGTAGAAGTGGGATGTAATGATCACTTACTCATCTGATAAGTTACTTAGGTTGAGAAACAACTCAAGACATTATCCTCTCTCTGAACAACAGTTTACAAATTTAAAGGGACTAGAAATCTTAAAACGTTTTCGAGGGAAACGAGGTGGTAGAAAGCAGAAAACAAAACAAGCCAAATTGCTAGTCTGTCTACTTAATGCACAACCCTGTAGAAATAAGACTTTGGAAATTCTTGATTTGATAGTTGAAGAGAAAATAGATGTTTTATTCCTGACCGAAACTTGGTTTAAGCCCAGTGGTGATGAATCATTTATAGCAGAAATAGTTCCAAGGGGCTACTCCATCCTTCATGCTCCAAGGTCAAAGGGTACAGGTGGAGGTGTAGCTGTGATATTTAAATCTTCTTGAAAGCTTGAGCTGCAAGAAAATTACAACTTTAGAAGTATTGAGACTATCAATTTGAAATTACAGTCGTTCTGTAATACAACAGTTCATGTTGTCTGCATCTACCAACCCCCGGTCTCGCAAAAAACAATCTCACTTTTGCAGAATTTGAAAATGAGCTTTCCTTGATGCTATCGTATTCAACGGCGAGGAATTATGTTATTCTAGGTGATTTCAATGTTCATTTTGATAAACAAACCAACCAACATACAAAAAGAGTCACAAGACTACTGAAATCAAGAGGTTATAAACAGCTTGTTACAGAAACCACCTATAAATCGGGCCATATACTTGACGGTATCATAACGCCTGACGACTGTACACGCATTGATAATGTCTCTATATCAGACATTCAACTCTCAGACCACCATCTTATATCTTCAACATGGAGTCTTGAAAAACCAAAATTTTCATTTGAAAGTAAAACTTTTCGGAAGCTCAAAACATTTGATGCTGAATCTTTCAAACATGATTTGCTAACGTCCGATCTATTACAAAACACATCGGATAATCTGTACTCAGTACAACACAAATCTACGAACTCTTCTTGACAAGTATGCACCAGTCGTAACCCGTAATGTAAGGATTACTCATGGTATAGAGTGGTATAATGAGGACGTAGCTGAGGCAAAGAGACAATGTAGACGGGCCGAAAGAAAATACCGATCAACACGCCTGGAAATACACAGACAGATTTACGTAGATGCACTGCGCAAATTCGCATCCACGGTGAAATCAGCAAAATCTGCATTCTGTTTGAAGACCCTCAGCGACAACCCCAATCACTCTCATACTTTCGTGAAGTCTCTGCTAGGCAAGACCAAAGACGTCATACTACCACATTCAGATGACCCAATACAACTTGCAAACTCATTTTCAGAGTATTTCATGTCAAAAATTGAGAAGATTCGTGATGAATTTGTCAAGGTACCTGACAGTGAAACGACCTCACCACATCATACCGTAGTAAATGGGCTATCATCTTTTACACCATTTGAATTCGAGGAGGTGTGCAAAATAGTCAAGTCTGCGAAGAAGACTTCGTGTCTATCTGATCCAATACCATCGAACCTTCTACCTTTGTTCCTTGATCAACTATTGCCAGTCATTACTAAGATTGTTAATATCAGTCTTCAATCTGGTTGTTTTCCGTCCATCTTCAAAAAAGCCATTGTCAAACCCTTAATTAAAAAGGACACCCTAGATCGGAATATCCTAAATAATTACCGCCCTGTATCCAACTTATCCTTCATCTCTAAGATAATTGAGAGAGCAGCTAACATTAGACTGAAATCATTCTTGTCTGACAACAAACTCTACGACAAATACCAATCCGCGTGCAGAGAGTTTCACAGTACCGAAACCACAATTGTCCGAGTAATGAATGATCGCCTCTCTTCTGTTGATGATGGCAAATTATCGACTTTGTGCCTACTAGACCTCTCTGCAGCTTTCGATACGGTTGACCACCAGCTACTCATCAGCAGACTGCAAACACAGTTTAACATCTCAGTGTCATCATGGATTATATCATATCTATCTGACAGAAGTCAGAAAGTAGTAATCAATAACACAGGGTCAACCAAGATAACTTTAAACCGTGGTTTTCCCCAGGGTAGTGTACTTGGACCTGTGCTATTTGTACTCTACACTACTAGTCTCGGCAGTACCATTAACGAACATAGTGTTAAGCACTATTCCTACGCTGATGACACACAGTTGCTTGATTCTTTCGCTTCGTCTGAAATCCTGAAGTCCCTAAAGAACACTGCGACATGTGCCACTGCCATTAAATGCTGGATGAACGCAAACAAGCTGAAACTTAATGATGACAAGACCGAGGCAGTACTTGTGGGATCTGTACAGAGGCTTCGGTCTATAACAGAGTCTAGTATCTTAATTGAAGACACCAGCATTACTTTTTCACAGTCTGTACGGGATCTAGGAGTGATAATTGATTCCTCATTAACACTTGAGAACCATATAGATCACTTGTGTCGAGTCTGTTATTTTCACCTGAGGAGTATAGCCAATATCCGCCATCTTTTGACAACAGAAGTCTGCAAACAAGTAATGCAACACATGGTGCTCTCTCGACTGGACTATTGCAACTATGGCCTACCTAGGTACCAGATTAACAGACTTCAGAAAATACAAAACACCGCTGCCCGGATAATTACAAAAACTCCGAAGTCTGCTCACATCAAACCTGTTCTAAAGTCACTACACTGGCTGCCGATTGAATTCCGCATAAACTTTAAAAATTCTTTGCATGGTCTATAAATACTTGAATAATGCTGCCCCAGACTACCTCGCTGATCTCATAAAACAGCAAGATTCTGAACGCCGTACACGATCATCAAGCAAAGATCTCCTAAAATTACCAACATCAAACCTATTTACCTATGGTGATCGAATGTTTTGCATTGCTGCTCCAACTTTGTGGAATGAGAAACAGTTGAACACTTCCATCAAAAGTGCCAAAAAATTACTTGACTTTAGAAAAAAGTTAAAAACCCACCTTTTTTAACATGCGTATCCAGAGTTACATTAGAAGCGCTTAGAGCACGCCTCGACATGGAATAGGCACTATATAATTGACTTTATTATTATTATTATGTAAGAGCTAAATCTGCCAGGCCTGTTTTTTGGCCTCATATGTCATATAAATAATTAGACATTTATTTACATGACAAGCCCATAATCAACTCTCTTGAACATCGGGGATGGTTGTGATTTTGAATACACTGAAACACAATTGTCGAGTGATACTGTTTTCGTATGGTGTTCTATTTCGGCCATGTCGCGCATCGCCTTTCAAAAAAGCGTCGCGCGTCGCCTTTTTCAATGTTAAGCTATAGGGAAAAAAAGCGACGTCGGGTTTTGAACCCAATGTCGCCTTTCCTAATGCTCATGTACCGGGAGAATTAATTTGCAGTTTATTTGCCGTTTGGTATTTTATCTTAAATACATTGATTTATGCTGGACACAAGGAACTATCATGAATATCCTTTATATAACAAGACATTTCTATATATGTTATATTTTTAATCACTGTTCTAAACTTACAATTTTAAACTCTACTGTGAAAGAGTGACCTCGTGCAGATACAGTAATACACTATAGTTAAACAAACGATGAAAGAGTACTGATAACGAAGTTGTAGGTGTGGTTTCCGTTATTTAAATCAATCGTTTTATAGGTTCTCAAGATAGAATTAATACGAGAATATTTTTATTGTGGATATCCTACGACGAATCAGGTTCAGATAGATGTTGAAAGAATCCATGATAAGGTTCACTTCTGCACTAGTTAACCTAGTCACACAGGCAGCTTCTAACGGGGCCCTCACAAGTCCATGTGGCACCCCAGGGCAAACGTTTCAGTGACGCCCCCCCCCCCCGCTATTGCATACTGTATCTGCTTTGTTCAGTGTCTTCGCTCAAATAATTTTAAAATATCATCTTTTTTACTTTCAACACCATGTCTAAATAATTATTTATAAAATTTTTTAAATTTTTTATATTTATTTCCCCGTCAACTCTCCGTTTGATCGAAAAACCCTATAATATGTCTTGGAAAAATCATAATTCTACCCCTATAGTAGATGAAATATGTCCTGGTTTACACATGTTTAGGAGAAGCGGAGGGCAGTG